ATTCAGACTTAAGGATTTGGGCCATCTTAAATATTTCTTAGGTATTGAGATTGCTCGCTCAACTTCGGGAATTGTTATATCTCAAAGACAGTATACTATGCAGTTGCTTGAAGATGCTGGATATCTAGACTGTAAACCAGTTAACAGCCCTATAGATGCTAAGTTAACTTTCAGTTAACATGAAGGTGACTTACTCCCAGAGGCTTCTCATTATAGGAAACTGATTGACAAGCTTATATACCTTACGTTATCACTCCCTGATATAACTTTTGCGGTCCATAAGTTGAGCCAATACATGTCTCAGCCCCGGATGACACATCTAAAGGCAGTGCATCATCTTCTGAGATATTTGAAGGGGCATCCTGGACAGGGTCTTTTGTTCTCTTCACAAGCACACTTAAGATCCGACATTAATATTAAAGGATTTTCAGATGCTGATTGGGGCTCTTGTATTGATACACGAAAATCCACTACAGGCTTTTGTATATTTGTTAGTGGCTCCATGGTATCGTGGAAATCAAAGAAGCAGTCCATTATATCTCGATCGTCTGCGGAGGCCAAATACAGGGCTCTTGCTTCAACCGTTAGTGAGATTTTACGGATTAAACAATTTTTGAATGATTTTCAAGCAAATCCATCTTCTCCAGCCATACTATACTGTGATAAAAATGCTGCAATTCAGATTGCCTCCAACCTCGTGTTTCACGAACGGACCAAACACATAGAAATTGATTGTCACTTAATACATGGGAGGATCACTGCTGGAATCATTAAGCTTCTGCCTGTGTGTTCGAAGCATCAGCTCACGGATCTCTTCACCAAACCGTTACCAACTTCTACCATTAACTACTTGCTATCCAAGATGTGTGTCAAAGACATTTACAGCACATCTTGAGGGGGAGTATTAGAAGTTAGAAGAATATTTTTTAGTTAGCTTCAGTTGGCAATTAGTTATGCCAACTGATAGTGTGCTTTATTTAATTTTTCCCGCCTATTTTGCTTGCACCTCTTTTTCCTTCTATTTATATCTTGTACTTGGAGACTTTTCAAAATAGAATGAATATTCAATTCTTCTCTGCAATTCCATCTTTGAAGTTCCAATGCAAGAGTTTGAACTTTTAATGATGTGGTTTAAAATGATATTAGAGAAAAGAAAATCGAAATAGAGAAATAAACAGTTATGGTAAGCTCGATCATGAGAGCCTTGATCTTTACATTGAATTTTGGAGATATCTGAAAGTATAAATGCTAAATAATTTTACACTTTAAGTAGAAAATTAATTACATTATTTGTTGAACTCACAACATCACGATAGGAAGCAAATGCTATATTTAGAGAAAAGTGAATATTACTAAATATAGTAATTATATTTATTTAGTTACCTTTAATTTAGGGATTAATTACTAAACTTTTGATAATTTAGTTTTATAAATATTATAAGACATATTTTTAAAAACCTAATTAGCACCTAATTTTTTAAAATTAAATCTTAATGACGTGATTAATTATAATCAAATTTAAAAAACATGATTTTCCTTAATTTTTCATTTTCATAATTCCATTCATTAAGGTAAACCTTAATAGTTACCATCAATTTCAATCTAAACCCTTGTTTGACCTTATCTAAAAATTCTTTTCAATCACACGTTCTTCCATTTAAATAATTTTGCATGTAAATTCATTTTTTCCCTACTTTTTAACTACACATTCTCCGAAAAAAATCACTATTAAAAAACAATTTTTTTAAAAACTAAAAATGGGACTTAAATAGAGCCTAAATGCCTTGATATGCAAGCGTCCATTTTGGGGAGAATTCATAAATGATTTGGTCCTTTGGTTTGGATAAAAATTAAAATTTTAGTAGATTTTGATAAAAATTAATGGAATGTGTGATTGAAGAGTTGTGCATCTCGTGAAATATGTGGTTCGAATTGAGTGTTGACTTTGAATTGAATTTAATCCACATTTTTAGTGGAACCAAACATGGACTTAATTTATAAATAGATAAAAATAAGTAGTGAATAAGTGAATAATATTTGCAGATTCATTAGAATGTATGATTGAAAATGAAGTTTGACCATATATAAATAATTTATATTTTTTGTCAATTGGAAGCTATTACAAACAAAGAATCCAAGATCAAGAACCTATTGAACTATTACATCCAAGAATCAACCAAAGGCATCATAGTATCAATCAAAATGGGGCTCAAATCATTGTACCCTTTTGTACAAGTCAAAACCACAAAATACCCAAACCCTAAGAAAATAGAAGAAGCCTTGAGAAGAATAAAAGTCAGAAGTGAGAATAGGGCATCAGTGTAAGTCCTTTTATATAGCACACACAAGAACCATTGATCTTAGGTGATCATCAACGATTCAGAGCAATTGACACTTTATGTATTACGAGGCAACACTAAAGTCGCGCTTACACAATGCGGCTTTCCTTATGGATTTGGGTTTTGGGCCCGGGACTTGGGTTATCAGGCAATGGGTTTAAAATTTGCAAATGGGCCAAGCCCAGCTTCATCATTGCCCACATATTGGACTGAATACCTCGACATCACATCCCAATAGAGGCTAAGTTATTTCTCTGTCCACATGCATTTTGTGTAAGTTGAACCTAAAATTTTATCAGAAGCATTTTGATATTAACAATTAATTATGACAAATGAGTTTTGGTCACTATAGAGAAGGGGTCTAAAATCTTATCTTATGATTCGATGTCCCCTTTTTGCCGTTCCGTTAGTTGTTTACGGAATAAAATTTTGACACCATACTACAATTTTTACCCTGATAGGTTTCACATTTCTTGATGTGTCATCATATACCTTGTACACTAGATTAATGTTGCATTTTATAAAAATAAACCATGATAATCTTTCAAATAAAATTATTAGATTCTTTATAAATGGAAATTTAAGAGATCAAAAATTATATATCTCTAATGAATGAACTGTTAGAACTTTATTGAAACTTAA